CTAGCGAGGGTGTCTTAGTAGTTATTAAGGCCTTGTCTGGTTTCTAGCGAGGGTGTCTTAGAGTTATTAAGGTCCTTGTCTGGTTTCTAGCGAGGGTGTCTTAGAGTTATTAAGGTCCTTGTCTGGTTTCTAGAGTTAACAATGACCTTACGGAAAGAAATGTCCCGTATAGAAAATCTATACGTGTTTGTGGAGTTCTGCTGACTGACAGTTTTTGGTTATATTTGATCTATATGTACATTTTACCAAAACAAGATCACATTTTATAAGTAATTCTATACATCTTCAGTAGGAGCAGTACATTATTATACTAAAGTAAAATAAAATTTATAATTAATACAGCTAACCCATACGACACGCGCGTCGCGAGCCCTCGACTCAAAACATCATTTATTAACTAATTTATATGTAAAAGAGGTATCTCGTAGGCTTAAAAGTAAAAAAAAAAAAAGTATCTTGTCAAAATATATTAAAAATGGATAATGTATGCATAAAAATTCGATCTGTCTTCTGAACTACAGTTTATAAACTACCGAGTTAAGGATAAACTGTTGTTGCTCATAGAGGGCGGTGTGGAAGCAAAACATTTAAAACACTATATTCATTATCTTTAGTCTAGTTAACCCAACGCATGCTCAGTTCGTGAAGGTTGTTTGTTGAACTTCGCGCACAAGTGGTATTTATGAAACAATTTGATATTTTCAACCTGAACAACACGTGGGCTGAAAGGCCTAACCAGAGGCCCTAAAGGCTCAATTATAGCCATTTATAATTTAGAACCGCTAGCTAGATGGAAGGAAACATCAGTATTTTAACCGAATAGCAGAACTGACTGTCACAATTATAACGCCACTAGTTGAAAGTGCGGATCGTGTGTTCAGCAGCATATCGCTACCGTACCTTGGACCTTAAGGTTCGTAGCCCTAACTCCTACGGGACAAAAAGAAATCTGTAATAATAGCCTTCACATCACACCTAATAGGGATCGCAAGAAAACCGTACTTTTAGTTCACGAGTGAGTAAATAACAGTCTATGATATATTTTTCACAATCTGATAATGAATACATGGTATAACTTTTATTTCTAATAAGTGTTTTGATCTGTATTTTTATGTGCTTGATTTGTTAGTCATTTACAGTCATATAGCAAGTTCGTATATAGCAGATTATATTTACATTGAGTGTCTCTATAATCGAGATAGACAGGATTTACATCTTGATATCGTTATTTGATTAAACTAATTAACTTGGAGTTTTGTTAATTAAGAGCTAAGACCTCAAATTAACGAAGTTAAATCATTTATGAAATTATTATTATTAAATAATTATAACAATAATATAATTAATAATTATTAAATTAAGATTATTATTAAAATTTCAAAGTACTTACACATAAGTAGTTAAAATATATAGTTAAAACTCCATCATTCGTTTCAACACCTAATGTCGTCTTTCTCCTCGAAGACTTATGGAAGGCATCCAGGCAGGAATACCTGCTACCACAAGGGCCTATTCCTGGTCTTCGAACTGAATAGCGAGATTGACTATCAGTTTTATAATGCGTCCAAAATTGAAGTGTGAAGCGTGTTCAAAGACATCGTGTCTCGAACCTGCCGATACACAGCCCGACACGTTAATCACCAAGCCACGTTTATTCCTAGGAAGTTGATGTAGCAATTGAATGGTAAGTTCCAAGAGTTATTCAACTGTAAGTAGTGTATTAAATGAATGGGATTCTGTGACTGTTAATTCTCTCACACGGACTCGCTGGTAAGAAATAATGGCTGTTGTCATCATAATCTTTAAACATAACACATAAAAAAAAAAACGTTACTCCTCGATCACTGGTTTTAGCTGGACGAAAAAAAAATACAGCTAATTAACCAACGCAAAATCTAGCTATAGTAAAAAGCTAAGTTTAAACTTATTTAATATAACTTAATGTCACACGTCGTCTTTTTCAAAATTCTCAAAAATTTTGTCGTTTCAAAAACTAAAGGAACTTATCTACTTTTAAAAACAAACACGTAATTATTGCGTATGTGGTAGTACTTGTACTGATAAAATAAAATAAATGTTATTTTTTTTATCAAAATAAGACCTCCCCACAACAATGATTTTTTTTTAAGAATTAAAACGAGGGAATAAGATATCGTTTGTTTGTTTTTTTTGCACGCGGGAATGACGTAGATACGTGCGCTGTTATCCATACTTTTATTTATCGCACGTGTCCATTACATTGGTTCCAAATAAAGACACTAAACATCTCTCTGCTATAATTTCGAAAAATGTTGATATATGTTTACTACATAATTAAAACAAAATGAGCAAACAAATGTTCTGTTTATTCTTAAGCACAAAACTACACAATGGGCTACTTGTGCTGTACAAACCGCAAATATCGAAACCCTATTTTTACCGTTATAAGCCCTCAGACTCACCGTGGAGCCACATGAAAGGCAAACATATGTTACGGTAAAAGTGTAAGCAAAATACTTACAGAATTCTCTAGATTCGTGTCCCTACAAAAATTTTGGATATTGCTTTTTGTTTCTATCTTTAGTTTGTTCATTAGGTAATCTGTTAATCTGAGCTGTCTTTAGCTTGTTCAGTAGGTAATCTGTTAATCTGAGCTGTCTTTAGCTTTTCAGTAGGTAATCTGTTAATCTGAGCTGTCTTTAGCTTTTTCAGTAGGTAATCTGTTAATCTGAGCTGTCTTTAGCTTTTTCAGTAGGTAATCTGTTAATCTGAGCTGTCTTTAGCTTTTTCAGTAGGTAATCTGTTAATCTGAGCTGTCTTTAGCTTGTTCAGTAGGTAATCTGTTAATCTGAGCTGTCTTTAGCTTGTTCAGTAGGTAATCTGTTAATCTGAGCTGTCTTTAGCTTGTTCAGTAGGTAATCTGTTAATCTGAGCTGTCTTTAGCTTGTTCAGTAGGTAATCTGTTAATATGAGCTGTCTTTAGATTGTTCAGTAGGTAATCTGTTAATCTGAGCTGTCTTTAGCTTGTTCAGCAGGTAATCTGTTAATCTGAGATTAAGCTGTTGACCAATACTTATATTCTATTGTATTTGTTATCGAACTCGCTGAGTTTTCGAATACTTGCATGTCTATATTACATTTCTAGTAGGCCGGGCGTGACCTAATAATTACCGTGCCGGACTGCGGATCGAAATGGCCAAGGTTTGCGCTGCGGTGCGTTATAAGAGTACAAGTCAATTGCGTTTTTTTTTGTTGCTTATAATAAGAAAAAACCTCAAGGCGGTAAGTGTTGCTGACTGAGTGCTTCCCCTCTGGTCAGTAGCTCAAAAATTAGGGACGGATATACTTAAACCCTAGGGTAACTCTGACTTGGCTGTTTGGCGCATGTGTCAAAAAAGGTGCTGTTCAGGCTGAAAATATAAATACCAATGCATTTTTGGTAGATTAACAAGAAGACGGTTTCCATGACCTTTTGAAGTATTTACTCAAATGAAGGATGTTATGTCATCGGAGTAGTACGATAGTTTTTATAACTTTACGACGTAAAAAATACTAAAATTAGGATTAGATTTCACCGTTGTTATATCATCTCGTTTTATCAGACGCACACAGACACATGTTTACATTGAAAAATAAAGATGTGTTACGAGTTACCTCATTGGACGACTGCAACAATTTTTTGGTGTAGCCATGGGGAACGATATTTTCAACTTTTATCGAGTGAAATCCTCACTTTGAGTGCATAGCTGAAAACCAAAAATTTGTTCGACTTAGATAAAGTAACAATCTCTATTACTATAAGCTATAATTTTTTATACTGTGACTATAGAAACACACACACACACACACACACACACACACACACACACACACACACACACACACACACACACACACACACACACACACACACACACACAACAACGACGTACTACTACGATATAATATAACGTAACAAACACACTACTACGTAACTAACGTACTCTACACTACCGTACGTACGAAGTACTACTACT